GCGCAACCTCTGCCGGAGGTGGCCGCGCGCCTGTCGGTGTGCGCGTGCGCCGCTGTCCGTGGTGCTGGGCCCGTGGAGGACGACCTAGGGCCGCGCGTGAAGGCGCTGCATCTAAACAACACTCTTGTGGTTGGGCTCCTCTGAGCCCGAGCTTTGGCAAAGAGTGTAAAACAAGCTGGACTTATCTCTGAGCATTCTCGCCGGGCCGAGAATGGCGCAGGAGCACAGCATACACATTATTTTTGTATGTTTGTGCGACGGGACACAGGAGCCCGTAGAAAAAATGACACCAACTGGCAAAACCTAGATGCTCCTGTACCGAACGGAACAAAGACAAATATGAGAAAGCAGCTACGAAACAGTATATAGTAAGGCTATTTTAATAAGGTCTGTTTGTATAAAATTCTCTTGACTTCCCTCGGGTGTTAAGAATGTTCCCTTCTGTTTTAGGGAGGGTGTTTTCTATGAAAAATTTATATCGTACTGTGCGAAGAAGGTAGTTTAGAGAAACGTGAGGCTAGTTTTGAAGTATTTTAAGCTCAGATTCAAGTAATTATGTCAAAGTGGCATATTTTGAGGTGGCTTATTTTGCCCCCTTGTCTTAGTTACTTTCTCATTGCTGGGACAGAATACTCGAGACCCACAAGTTGAAGCAGGAAAGGTTTATTTTGGCTCACAGTTTGTAAAGGTTTCAGCACATGGTTGGCTGGTTCCAAGGCAGAGCAGCAGGGGAGGGAGAGTCCATGGCATGACAGGCAGGAAGCAACTAGCGGCAAGCGTTTCTTTCCTTTTTTATTCCATTCAGGTTGTAAGCCTTTTGGTTGATGCCACCTACACCCAGGGTGGTACTTCCCACTTCTGTAATTCTTTCACAACTATGCTAAACCCATCTTTGGGTTATCACACCCATAGTACAGTATCACACACCCATTATCCAGCCACCTCCCCAAAGCCCTACCTATAAGTGCAGGGGGCTTTGGAGTGACATCTAGATATAAACCATAAAAACCCTTCACCTGGAATGTAAACATAGGCTAAATTGGGAGGGTAATAAGTGAAAATAAAGGAAAATGTGAATTTCAGCACAACTGTGTTCATATTTGTAAAACCACACAATTATATTTTTTATTTTATTATTAATACTTGTGTTCAAAGGCTCACTTTACCTTCCTGACTCTCCATATATTTTGTATTTGAAAAAGGAGATATAATGTGGCCCAAACTAGGAAAGTCATTTTGAAAGAGCCATTGTTTGAACATGGAATGTTGGGCAAATACTTCTCTGAACCTCTCTTGTTTTATATGATTAAAAACTGGATTATGGGTCCAAACCTAGAGATGTCAATGATTGAATTAAAGTATGCAAATTGCCAACCAAACTGCCTGACTTTGTACCTCATAGTCCCTTAATAAATGTTAGCCTTTCTTCCTCTCAGTGATTTGAGTCATCATTGTGTGGACTTAATGTCAATACTGGTTTTTCTCTAGTTTTTTTTTCTTTCTAGTTTTACACATATAAATCCGTTATACTTGTGACTTAGTGTCCAAACATTTTATAACAAAAAAAGTAAATTCCTGGAAATTTAGAAATTTAGCATTTAAAAAATATCTACCATTTATACTCATTAACAGTTGCTTTTTCAGTACTGTCCTTGGGGTTAGGAGGCTACTACAAGGATTAGTGGAAAAGAAGTGAAATGAATTGGTGTCTGCTTGTAACTTATCTCTGGATCAATAAAGAGGCTTGTGATGGGTGGTTTCATTCTCAACCTCAGATGAAATAAATGCTGGTCCAAAGTTCAGAGCTCTAAAATTGCATATTTTTTTAATCCTCTACATCTGGACAAGTGCTATTTTGACCTCATTTATACACCACACTGACTTGTGTTTAAGAGAAAATGAAATTACTAAAGGAGTTTGTGATATCTCTGCAATTAAAATAATAAGTTGGGGTGGGGACCTGTGTCAGTTGTGATTGATTATGTGCTAAAGAAAAGAGGAAATAGATGTGTTTTTCTTGAATATGAAAATGAGAGAACATTAACAAGAGAGAAACAGTGGTTTGAAAAGGTACTTTCTGAGTTACAGGAATGTCATAAGAGAAAATAAATGTGAGTGAGCTCCACTGTCTTCTGTGTACAGCAGTTATGATTGGTAGATTTATTATTTTGCTAATTCTTAAAATACATTAAGAATCTGCTACTTTTTACGACACACATCAGAGAGGGCTGAGGATGGGTAATCTATAACATTTTCTATTCCAACTTTGAGATAAGAAACACCAGACTCAATTATGTAAATCTATGCTTATTGATAGCAAAAGGAAGTGTTTTCAAACATCTAAGCAAATAGCATTTTCTTGATACAGATTCTGCTTAGGTAAGGATCTGTTTATTGAAAATCCCACTCTGTGGAGGTAAATGTTTCCATTACCATCTAACTTTGTACTGTTGAAAATCACAACTTTTACCCCTTTTCTCTTTGGTAATTAACTTTGAGGTAAGGATTATTGCTCTCTTGTCTTATTCACTTTTGCTTATAGGATGAAGTGTTAGCAAACCAAATCCATGGGCTTTGTAATACATCACAAAGCATCATTTACAAGAGATAATTCACCTTGGAGATCTGATTATGAAATACACTTTCCCAGTCCATATTCCCTAATGAAAAGATTCATTAAAAGCTTCCCTAAGAAAGATTTACTGGTGTATATACAGTTGTAACCTTTTGTATATCATCACCTGCATAAGACATGGGTCAAAAGCTATTTTATTCAAAATTATAGGCAAATCATTCTCTCTTAGCTTCAGTTTCTTTATCTGGTCCATAAGGAAGGAAGTTAAATTAGATGAGGTATCTCCCATATTAACAGTATGTCATTGATTTCCTTAGTAAGTTCTCCTCAGAAAGTTTGATGCATGCATAACTATTCAAAATTACTTTTTTCATTTTAGGAGTTATTTATATTAAACATCTGTTTTGAGGCTTTTTTACTCACTATTTGACGTGATTGTATTAGTTTTGTAAAAATTAGTGGTCTTTCCTTTTTAAGGCTTCCATATTTTTATATATGGCAGTAATATTTTCCTCATACTAGAACAAAATGTTTCACTCATGCAGAAGAACATAAGTCTTTCAGAAAGAGAATGATCGCACATTCCTTACTTTTCAGATAGAGCAACTTGTTTCTCCAGGAAGAGCATGTCTTTCAACAGAGACCTTTTTTATATCACCTTGGTGCCTCAGCATGGACTGCCTTCCCCATACTACCCACATGGCAACGTTGTCTTTCTCTAACACTCAGGGTGGAGCTGCTTGTTCCATGAAACTTTCTCAGAGTTGCCCAGGCAGGCTTTGTTATTGGTTATTCCAAGTCATTTGAATGCCAAAGGCATAGTTTGAGGTGGCTTATTTTGCCATCCTTGTCTTAGTTACTTTCTTGTTGCTGGGACAAAATACTCAAGACCCACAGGGAGGAGAGAGTAAGAAAGTTGTATTAGTTTTCCATTGCTACCATTTTAAAAATGCTACAAATTTAGCAGCTTAAAAGAGCATCTGTGTATTTTCTTATGTGTGTGTCCAAAACTAAGTGCAGCATGGTCCAGCGGTTTCCTTTGCCTGGAGCTTCTCAGGGTGTCAGCAGAGTACATCCTTTTCTGGAGGCTGCTAAGACAAACCTGCTTCCAGTCTCATTCAGCTGAGGTCCAGTTACTGTGGTCATGGGTCTGTGGATCTTATGGCCCTGCCATGTGTTGGTCATGGCTGGTCTTTGCTTCCAGATGCTCCCGAGTCCTTCTGGTTTTCAGGTGGCCTTTCTAGCAAGAGCAGGTCACATCCTTCTCACATATCACATTTCTCTTGCTTTACTTTCTGCCTGTCCTATCTCTCAGCCTGCAGTCAGAGGAAGTTCTCTGCTTCTCCACGCTCATGAGGTTAGAAGGGTCCCACCTGGATAATCTGTTATATTCACTTTACTTCTATGTCTGTAATCTGTGTCAGATTCCAGGATTGTGGGGTGAACATTTTGAGAGTCTGTTCTGCTTATTGTAAAAATCCTTAGCATATTGGTGAAAATCTTGGAGTCTGGACCTGCATACCTGGGTTCAAACTCCAGATCTACCACTCACTGTTCTCAGTTTTGCTAAGTGACTCTCCCTGTCTCCCTGAACTTCCTGTTACTCATTTGTAAAATGGGCCGATAATTATATTTTCACCTTAAGCTTTTTATGATGTCATGTTAGTGAAGGGCAGCAGCAGACTGAGACAGGATGTCGCTTCATGTATTTTACAATAAATTGGTCACACACAGCTGTGCAAGGCAAGTTCAGCAGCATTTCTCATTGAATAACAAGCTCTCCTGGCTGTCAGGCGCACACAGTGCCCCACTGATGTCCCATAGCCATAAAAAGAGTCTCTGAGGTCCTGCAAGATCCCCTTCCCAGCCTCTTGGGCATAGTCAGGGCCTTGCTGTCCTCTCCACCCTCATTGTCACTTCCCTGTCCAGGGAGCAGGGGTCTGATGATAACCCCAGCAGACTCCTGGATACCTTCTCCAAATGTAAACTGAAGACTTCCAAGATGTACCATTTCCTAGCAGCTCTATACCAGAGACCCATTGGATATCTTAATATATCAGTGTGTGTATGCACATACATTTCCTGGACATGTCATGTTGTACATTATGTGAATTCATAATTATTTTTATACTTATTAAACCAGGAACATGGGAGGGGAGAGCCAATCTTACTTCTTGAAACTTTCTGCCCCAGTAAACAGTACCTGGCACATGGCTGTTTATTTGCTTTTCAAAAGAATAACTGAATAAAATAATCTAATATTAGACTCAAAATTTGCCAGTGCACACATTTTATTGTTACTCTGAGTATAATCAGAATTCATAGGAGGAGGAGGGTGTCAGGCCTGCCCTAAACCAAGAAACAGGAAAAAGAAAACAAGTTGCTTTCAGTAAACAATAGTAACTTCTCAGTAAAAAGGGCAAATAGACTCAGAATATGACATAATACCCTCCTGGTGCTGAGAAGTCCAGTAACTGTATACCCACCTGAGAAGACCATCCTTGGACATCCAGGTCATAAAAGTACCTTCCCCCGAATATGTATAAATATAATCTTCCCTCCCTGCTAGTGGCTAGAATCTCCTTGTTTTAGTCCCAGATTCTAGTCCCTGTTCACTGAAATAAACTTTTCTTTTTCTCATGACAAACAGCCTGTTTTTTGACAAGTGGATTCTTTATAACAGAGCAATGTGGAGAATAGACATTGGCTAAGTACTAGTCACTAACATGTCATAAAGACTCCAGTTTGTTTCTTCTCAAGCAAATGATTCTTTATTTATTTGATTACAGTGGAAACCAAAGGAGGTTTCCCACAAAGGAAGGTATTTTGCCACAGGATGAAGTAGGAATGTTTGTAATTTACTATTCTAAATAACATTTAATGATACAATTTTGAAAGCTAATGCTCTGTTTTAGTCACTAAGTGGAATCTATTGTTTCACCTGTCATAATCTTGGGCAAGTAATAAATATAATGCTTAGGAAAATCATATTTAATACTGATACAATAACAGAAATATATACCTGTAAACTGAAATATTCTTTGGCATACTAGTTGTAAAATGGATATACCTATGTCATGTGCATACTGATTATTAGTTATGAGGGCTTCAGCCTGTGGGCAGGGTGGGACTTTTGACGTTATTGCACTGTTAGATGATCTTTAGTCAGTTATCCTTGATGTTTTCATTGTAATTACTCTTCACTGTAAGATGGTGCACTTGGTGGTGGGTGGTTAGTGTGTGGTGAGTGCTGCCCTTACTGGCTGCCCTCCACCTCTCCCCTTTTCCACAGACCCCTCTCTTGCCTGAGACACAACAGTGTTGGGGCTGTGCCGACTAGGAGTCCTCCAGTGGACTGGCCACTCTGAGTCCAAGTGAATGCAAGAGGCACACATCTCTCACTTAAATCAGAAGCTGCCAGTGCTTAAAGTTTCTGGTGAGGGCTTGTGGAAAGCAGGATAAGGCAAAATCCGGGCCTTCTATGACATTTAGTTTAGCCAGATCATGATTGCAAAGGAAAAGTTCTTGAAGAAAATTAAAAGTGCCACTCCAGGGAATACATGAGTGATAAGAAAGTGGACGTGGTGAAAGTTTGAGTGGCTTGGATAGAATATCAAATGAGCCTCAACATTTGCTTGAGATAAAACCTGATCCAAAGCAAAGCCCCAAGTCTTTAGTTCTCTGAAGACTGAGAAGGTGAGAAAGCTGCAGAGAAAGAGACTGGCTTATGAGGTTTAAGAAACCATCTCCATAACATAAAAGTGCAAGATGGAGAGCAGGTGCTGATGTAGAAGCTTATAACAGGTAAGATCTAGCTCATTGGCTGATGGAGATACCACCCAAACAGCAGTCTTTCAAGGCAGAGAGTAGCCTTCTGTTGGAAAGTGATGAGGAGACTTTCTTAGCCAGGAAGCAGAAGTCAGTACCTTTTTTCAAACTTCAAAGGGCAGCTGAATCAGTCCCCCGTCCCATCCCCATCTCTCTGTCTCTGTCTCCCCTCCCCTCTACACCCGCCTCTAGACAGAGTTTTGCTAAATTGCCCAGCTGGTTCTCAAACCTGCAGTCTTCCTGCTTCAGCCTCCCTTGGTGCTGGGAATATAGGAGTGAGCTGCAGTACCTAGCTTGAATCTCTTAAGGGCTCATGCACCATGTGACTTTACACTGAAGCTGATGCTTACTTGCCATTCTTAAAATCCTACAGCCTTTAAAAATTATACCAATTCTACTATACCTGTGTTCTGTTAGAGAAACAGCCAGTCAAGATGACTGTAATATTTCTATTTTCAGCCCACTGTGAAGACCTGCTGCTCAAGAAAAAAAAAAAAAAAGATTTCATTCAAAATATCACTGCTTACAGACAATGCACTTGGCTACCTAAGAGGGCCTATGGAGATAAATAATGCCATTTAATGTTGTTTTCAAGCCAGTTAACGCTGCTTCCATTCTGCAGCCCGTGGGTTAGAGTCATTTCAACTTGCAAGTCTTTTCCTCTTGGAATATGTTTTGCAAGGCTGCAGTGATTCCTCTGCTGGTTCTAGGCAAAGTCAATTAAAAGACTTCTAGAAAAGGTGTTTCATTCTCAGTGGATCAAGAACATTATGATTGGTGTGATGAGGTCAGAATATCAACAACAGGAACTTGGAAGAAACTGATTCCAACCCTCATGGGGCTAAGACAACACTTTGTAACAAGGACCTGGAGACTGGCTTAGCTAAAAGCACTGATGCTTCATTTGGGTGGCAGAACTCGGCATCTCAGCTTTTGTTTTATGTCTGTGTCCTTTTTTACTTTGAACTTTGGATCAGAGTCCTACTTACTGCTGCATCATGTAAGATGAGTCTGTCTAAACCTGGAGCTATAAAGCTGGTTAGCCATAAATTTACATATCTTCTTCCTCCCCTTATTCAAGCCCAAGGGTACCACAGTAAGAGTAACTAAGTTATTTTCAGGATTTGTAAGACACCCTGTTATGGTTTGGGTCTAGATGTCCCCTGAAAGCCTCATGTGGCCAGAGGTGACATTTTCTGGGGTGACTGAATCTAGAATGTGTGAAACTGGAATTAAGGATGTGTGATTACTAAACCAGTACTCTGATTGGTTTGGTACCACCCTAATCCCAGTAGTCTGGATAAGATAAAAGGGGCAGAAAGACACTGTTAAGGTTTCATTGTTGCTTTTGCTACCATGTAGGCACCATGAACTGTTTCTCCTCTCTGATGCCCCTCTGCCACGTGCCACTCTGCCTTAGAGCTGGCCAATTATGGACTGAAACCTCTACAAACTTGAGCTAAATAAACCCTTTTCCCTTTAACTTTGAGAGTCCTGTATTTTGTCTCAGCAAGGAGAGAAATGTAACTAAGACATACCTAATCCACGCATTGTCAATTACCAGCTGTTACAGTATTCTTTTCCAGATATCCTGGATGGCTCCTCATGTATCCAGTCATTATTCTAGACCTACAATCATCTTCAATTCCAGAACAGTGGAGTTCAAGGGTAGACACCCATTGATGAGACTTCCCTTTCCCTTCCCTTCCTTCCTCTCTTCTTTTTTTCCTTCTTTCCTTTCTTTTTCTTCTTTCCATTTTTTCAGCACTCGTGCTTGAACCCAGGGTTTTCCCACTAAGTTATATCCTCAACCGTTTTTTTTTTCTTTTAATTTTGAGATAAGGCCTCACCAAGTTGCTAAACTGCCCAAGCTGTGCTTGAATTTAAGATCTCCTACCTCAGCTTCTCAGAGCCAGAGTTGCTTCTTAAAGATCAGCAAAGAAAATGGCTTCTTAAGGTGCAATCTATTCCTGGCAAAGATGTTGTCGAAATTGTTAACAGGACAGCAAAGGATTTAAAATACCACATAGACTTAATTGGTAGAACAGCGGCAAGGTTTAGGAGAATCAAGTTTAATTTTGAAAAAGTTCTACTGCGGCTGAAATGCTGTCCAACAGCATCACTTGCTACAGCTTTCATGAAAGGTGGAGTTTGTGGCTGCTAAAGTCAGTGTTGGGGAGGGATGAGCCACATAAAAGGATGCCCACATTTTGTGTAAATGTGTACCTAGCTGTGACTTGAGTGTTGCTCTCTGGACTGGCTCGCAGAAGCTCAGCTAAAGATGAAAAAAAGTCTGCCTAAAGGAGGAAATGTGCAACTGAACACGAGCAAGTTGCCATTTTACGGGTGTGCAGAATTACCTGGTGCATATAGAACCAAGGAAACAGCTTGGGAGAGGTCGTTTTTTCTCCTCCCTTTTGGAGTGCTTAGTTGGGACAGAACCCTGTAACAAAAGACAGACCAATACGAGAAAAACAGGTTCATGGACTTGAATATTTTATATCTAACTGGGAGATACCCACAGAATGAGTAAACCTCAGGAAGGTGGCCTAGAAATCCATTTATGTATACAGTATCTTATCTTCAACAAAGAGTCTTTTTAAAGACTTGAAAACGCACAAGAAAAGGACTAAATTTGTGCATGTGCAAATGGTGGGAGGCAAGTAAGTGGTGTTTGTTATGTGATTCCCCAGAACCTTCTCCAGGCCAGTTAGTGTCTAAAGTTGTCTTCGCTTGTTGATAGGAGAGACAGATACTTTTAAATATTTCTCTTGCTTCTGGCACATAGAGGAAGGCAGAGTGTTTTTCTTATTCAGCTTCTTCTCAGTTGCCTTCAGGTAAAAGTGCTCCTTGTGTCTGAAGGCATATTTGGGGTGGCATATTCTGCTCTGCACACATTTTCATTAGAAAAAGTTAACTGGGTTTAACTCTGAAATGAACCACATAGTGAAACTAGCAGACAAGGGCTGTAAAGCGAATACGTATCATCCATTAAATAGAACAAAGTATGCTTTCAATGAATAAAAATAAAAAATTAGGAAATCTCAGCAGAGAAATAGACACATAAATGTAATCTTATAGGTGATTAGAATTGATAAAAATCTGAAATTAAAATGTCACTAGATGGACTTAGAAGCGACTGAATGAACTTAAAAACATCAGTAAACATTATCCAATATGAAAAATAAAGAGAAAAAAGATTGAGAGTATAAAAAAGGAATAGTGATTCAAGGAACTATTAGATTATTTCAAACCTTCCAATATGTACAGTTAGAATCATAGAAGAAAGAGGAAGAATGGGACAGAAAAAATATTTTAAGAAATAGTGATTGAGAATTGATAAATTCAATCAAAGAAATTATAGATGCAAAATACCCAACAGACATCTAGTATAATAAGTGCAAGGATGCCAGACAAGGCAAAGATAAAGAGCAAATTTGGAAAGAAGCAGGGACATCACACATATAGCAGGACTTGACTAATAGCTAATTTCTCATTAGAAGTTCTGGAGACCAGAGAAGAGTTAAACAACATAAAAAATACTAGAGGAAATCTATGGTATTTGTTTTATTTGCATTTCGTTAATCAAATGATTGAATGTTTTTGCTCTCTGTGTTCTTTACTTTTAGAAGCTAAAGTGTTTGTGTAGTCAAATCTATCCTTTTTTTTTCTGTTTTTCCCCTTTGGTTTCTGTAAGTTATTGTTCATGATTCTGCTTAAGAGTTATGATATATCGAGGGCAAGAGTTAAACATATTACAGGTCAAAAAACACTAACAAAAAACAGGTCATTAAAACATTAACCTTATAAAAGTCCATGAGACCATGAAATGGGCCAAGACAAATAACTACTATCTTTATGTTCATGCAACTTAGATTGTTACTGCAACATTGTCCTGTTCTTGTGCAGTTTGAATTTCTTTCTTCTTTTGCTTCTCAGATCATTCAAAATTTCAGTAGGAGGATCCAGACCAAAATCAAAGATCTTCTGCAGCAAATGGAAGAAGGGCTGAAGACAGCTGATCCTCATGATTGCTCTGCTTATACTGGTTGGACAGGTGAGAATATCTGGGATAGTAACTGATGTTTATTCTTGGATCATGAGATATAAGACTTGGATTTGAAGTTTCCTTTTCTTTTAAAATGGTAATGTTTTATATCCTTGAAATCTTGAACTATGTCTTTATTGATAAAGTGCTTTGTAATTTTATTTCTAAAGAAATGCTTTCCACCTTAATTTTTGACCTATAATATGTAGTACATCTTATTTTTATAATATTGTTTATTTAACCTAATATAGAGTTGTGGAAATGTGTAATAGAAAATGTACCTTATGGTGTAGTTGTTGCTTTAGTCTTGTGACAAGTTGTGTTTGATTTTCTTCAGTATGTTTCATAAACTGTTTACCCTGTTGCTTGTGCTCAATTTGAATTATTGACATACATGAAGGTTTCTATTTTAATTTTATAAGCAACCAGTAATATACTTCATATCAAAAAGTGTAATTTCAAAATAGACTTGTCTTAACTTGGCATTCTTAACAATTTTACCAGTTAGCCACACATTGTAATAGCTATTTAGAGTTTATAAATGAAATAAAGTAATTCATTTTCATGGATTAAAGTCTTCTTAAATTGCTAATGATCATTAACATAGAAATTTAGAATCATTTCTGGCTAAAGTTTTACAGTTTAATTAATAAACAGTGTAGATGCACGTATGTATGTCAGAGACACCAGGAACCAATGCCTGCGTTTGTGATTCATAATCAAATATGATGGCCTTGAACTTATATTTGCATTCATTTTAGTGATGTTTCACTTATTTTTTGCCTTTTATGAGTGCAACATTTACTCACTGATGTTAGAATTAAATATTTCAGACTTACATGCTCAGACAGACCCAGTTCACTTATAGGGTCAAAGAAATTTATCTTAAATATAAAACCATATATTTTGGTTAACCAGAAATAAAATACAAAGAATATTTGGGGAAGGAAAATATACTTGGAAAGGAAAATAACATGCTATTAGTAGAACAAGTTTCCTCTAAAAATTCTTACTTATAATATGTCCTGTTGGTGTTGAAAAGGGTTGTTTTTAATTCCGACTGTCAGGTTCCATACTGGCTATGTGTTAGGATCATCCAGAGAGCTGTATAACAAACTAAAGGAACAAGTACATTAAGAACTCTGGAATCTATTCTTTACCCTGATTTCTATGTCTTGTTTTTTTGTTTTGTTTTCATTTTAAAGAAATGTTTTGGGTTGATGTTGCCCCTTCTAAGACATAGGGATTGCACAGAAGAAAAGAGTTCATGTAATTATGAAAGAACACCCCCAGGGTGAGAGGAAACTTCACAGTGCTTTTGTTTGGTGGGGACTCGTTCCAGGCATAGCCCTCTTGTACCTGCAGCTATACCGGGTCACTGGTGACCAGACTCACCTACTCCGATCCCTGGATTATGTCAAGAGAACACTTCGGAACCTGAATGGCCGCAGGGTCACTTTCCTCTGTGGAGATGCTGGGCCTCTCGCTGTGGGAGCTGTGATATATCATAAACTCAGGAGTGACTGCGAGTCCCAGGAATGCATCACAAAGTAAGCTTTGAATGTGTTCTCCAAATTCTCAGTTGATGTTCTTTCAGTAGAAAGGCATTGAAAAAGGAAATTGTTTTTAATTAGTCTACTATTACAGACAGGACTCCCAAAAAAGTGGAGAGGTTTGTGTGTTAGTCTTAAGCATAATGGTGGGGTCCTGTGTTCTGTTTCTTTCCAAGCATCGAACTCCTTTAATTTGGGGAGAACAAACATGTTTCTTTAATCATTCTTGCTAAGCAATTTGGTTACTTCCAATGTGTGAAAACTAGCTTATGTGCCTTAGATCCAGGAAAATGACAAAACCCACCCATAAATAACTGATTAGATATGCTAATGATGGAACATTTGTTGAGTATGTGCATTCAGTGAGCCTGTTGCTTTATATTCTTTCTTGAAGAAGCAGAAATGAGGGCTGACTTAGAGGGCCTGGGAGACCACCTGGCTTATGGCAGTCAGCTGATATTTGTTGTTGAAAACTTAAAGGAGTCAGGCCTGTGCCTGATCCTGGGCACATTTCAGTAATTTTAAATCACTTTCTTTCGATGGATTTCAGATGAAATATCTTCTATTACATGGTTTAGAATACATATGAAGGCAGAAATTTTGAGCAGAAAGATGTTTTGTTCTTGATTTTGATATTTGACAAGGAATTAGTACAGTGACGTTTTACTTGTTTCCTGGGTTTATATTTTTTGAATCATAGTTTTAAATTTAAAAATAATAATAGATAATCCCTCAAATGATGAGGTGACTTAGCTAGGAGAAGTTATTTTAGGCATTTTCTAGGAAACAAAATTTTTCTTGTGGGCTAGACTTTTGCAGTTGCATAAAACCATCGTCTGCCAGGAGTCTGAGCTCCCTGATGAGTTGCTGTATGGACGGGCAGGGTATCTGTATGCCTTACTGTACCTGAACATGGAGATCGGCCCAGGCACCGTGAGCGAATCTGCTATTAAAGAGGTAATGTAGGATTGCTAACCCTCTGGGCATTCACAGCTCTCTCTTAACATAGGCTTATTTTCTTAGCTGGGCTCTACTGCTGGGTAACATTAATTTTTTTAAAGCATCTCATAAACATTTTAAAATAGCTATTTTGGTTTTCAGGAAATTTAAATTTTTTTATTTATTAATGCATTCTGCAGTAAAAATGTAATTTTTTTAAGCTTATATTTTTTCACCCTTTTTTGATTCAGTTGGTTTTACTAGAACTAAATAATAGCAGCTTCAAATTTTTAGAATCATTTCCCTTTTGTGAGAAGCATGAGGCCCCTCTTCTGTCTTACTGGACAGTGCTTGCCATGTACCTCATCTGTGTGATCAGAATTGGTTTGAATCCAAGCAGTTGTGGAAGGTGGAAAGAGGAAGTGGAGGAGAAACAGCTTCTTTTGTCAGGGTTCATCTACACATCCTGGTGCTCACATCCCTCTCTCTCGCCAGAACTTAAGGAAAAGGCTGTGTTGAGCTTCTCTAGCTCAGAGACCAGATGCTTAGCCAAAACTTGGCATACTTTACCAGAAGGGTGGAAAGAGTGTGGACATAAGGAAACAGTTAGTGTCTTTACCATGTAGTCATTCCACACATGATATTCTTCTGATCTGAGATCCTTCATGCCACAGCAGACTGCATTTCATTAGTCTCTCATCAATGAAGTCAGTTCCTCCAGCTTTCTTCCCTGAAATTCTTTTGGGGGAAACATTGCAGCTACAAAACAATGAAAATGTCTGGAACCATTTTTAATTGGGAAGTTTTTCTTAAGTTCAGTAAGTTCTTACAATGAACTTTTTTGATTCCTTGGTTAGACTTCTTAACATCTTTGCCTATTCTGACATTCTTCCCATGCCTTTCTGCCTGTACTTATTAATTTATAAAATAAATAAAACTGTCTTAGCTCCTATTGAAAGATTTTTTTAGACTAAGTAATCTCTCCCCCCCGACTGCTCCCTCCGTCTCTCCACACATATACCTTATTAATGTTAGTTCTACCAGAATAGAATGCTTGCAGGTTTTTGTTGTTTTTTTTTTTAATTTATAGTGTCTCAATATCTCTACAGGTAGTCAATTCTATTATTGAATCGGGCAAGACTTTGTCAAGGGAAGAAAGAAAAGCCGAGCGCTGTCCCTTGTTGTATCAGTGGCACAGGAAGCAGTATGTTGGAGCGGCCCACGGCATGGCTGGAATCTACTACATGCTAATGCAGGTAGCAACACTCTGCAGTACTAATACAGCAACTCTGTTACAATATAATTATGTCCAATTTGAGTGTGGAATGAAATGCTTAGTACAAAGCAAGCAGGCAGAAAGGAGACGCCTCCTCCTTTGAACTGCAGGTGCTTAAACTCTGCTTTGTAACTGGAAGCAGTGAATTCCTAAAAGTGCATTCTGTTTGTAGTTTTGTACCAGATTTGTTGCTCACCACCCACACTTTTCTTCTGTCATTGTCCTGCTGATGCAAGTAAACTCCAGTAAGGCAAAAGTGCAAGATGAGAATTTAGATGTCTTTGACTGACAAGCCCAAATATTCTTTTTTAAAAATTTTTACTTCAAAGTTTTAAATCTACTACATTATGCAGCTGCTACCTAGAAGAAAGTAGGACATTTATACCTAACAGGACACAAACCTCCTTTTTTGGTAATTAATTATCTTTGTTATTGTAGAAAGTAAAGCATGCATATATTTTGATTGAGAAAAATTTTAATAATACATGTATAGACTTCCAAAGTAACTAAAATTCCATCTTATTTTAAAATGATGTTGTTATCCTAAAGTTGTAGATTTTGTGTATGCATTAGGATGTGGGACACTGTTGCCCAAGTATTTTACTTAGAAATTCATAGGAGTTTTGTTTTTGATTTTTGTTTTTGTTTTGTTTTGGTACCAGGGATCAAACTCGACCTTGTGGTTCTGAGGCAGGTGGTGGCACCACTGAGCTAAATCACCAGCCCCACAGGAGTTTTATAGAAGGTGAAGCAGTGTGGTGGAGCTGACTTAGAAGTTGGCATATACTTTCCTTCCTCACCCCAAGTCCTGTATACATACCCTTGTGTGGTCAAGTAGTTGTGAGGCAGTAGTGTCCACTATGTGCTCTCATCTGGAAGGCATGAGAACAGTATATGCTGAAACTTTTAAAATGTCATTTAAACTGAACTTTATTTTCCAATGTCAGAACAAAGATCGTTCTTCTCTTGAAAATACTTTCAAAACAACAGAAAAAGAGAGAACAGAAGCCGGAATTCTTTGATAAAACCAGAAAATATATTGAGTCCCTATATGTATATGTAAAACCCAAAGTAGGTGGAGGGTGGTGTTATTATTTAGATTGAGAATGCTAGAACCCCAAAAGCCTCATGTACTAATAGATAGAGGTTTTGGGAAGTGACTGAATCATGGGGGAGCTACAGTTGCCTTGCTGTTCCGAGGTGGGATGTGGTCAGAGGAGGCAGGTCACTGAGGGTGTTTCCTCAAAGGTATATCTCCTTCCCTCTTCTCCCTTCTCTCTCTGCTTCTTGCTCAACACGGATGGTCTAGTATGACAGAAGATCATCCACAAGTGACTGAAGAGGAGGCTGCCAGCAAGAAACAAGCCAGCTTCTTCTGTAGAGCCTTAGAACTAAGGAGTTCAAAGCGTCATCTACCATAAACTCACCACTACTGCATGTCTCCCTGAGTCTTTATTGCTATCCTAGTCAGGTTGTGGACTCCTCAAGTCTATAGATGCATGGACCAATAATTCCTTAAAACAACCCTATTTCTGTATACACACACACCCTATTGGTCCTATTTCTCTATAGAACCCTGACTAATACGTTGTCCAGGCCTCTAAAGTGATTTCTACCATTGAACTTATCTTTCCTATGCACCAAGTATATCCTGCTTGCTGTCTACTACCTTATGCAAAAATATAAACCAGCAACCACACAATTACCAGACACCTGAGGAAAGCCACCAGCTTGAAAGATTGGAGACCTAAATGTGGATAAAAGAAACTCAGAGAAAACAGAGATAATCTAGGAAGAAAAAGACAGTGTCAAAGAAACCATCATTAGTAATTAATATCCTTTGGCAAATAAGAAAAGCTGTTGTACCCAAGGAGCAAGAAACATTTTAGGAACAAAAAAGAGCTCTTGAGAATTAAAAATAGAGTGATTTTTCTTCCTGTGATTCTGAGGATTGAATCTGGGGCCTACACACTGATCTACATCCTCAGCCCTTTTTATTTGTATTTTTTAGATTTTGAGACAAAGTCTCTTTCACTAAGTTGCTATATTGCCCAGACTGGGCTTAAAGTTTCATCCTTCTGCCTCTGCCTCCCAGAGTGCTGGGATTACATTTTCCACCAAGCTGAGCTGAATTTTTTTTTTTTTAATGTTTAGAAATCAAACATGTTAAAAATTAGAAACAGTAGGGGAGACAATAACAAGAAAATAAGACAGTTCATTCAAGAAGTCTAGTGTCCATTAGACATCAAATAAGGGAGGACATAAAGTGTTAGGGAGGAATTTTATTAAGTGCAGTAAAAGAATATGTTCTAGGGCTGGGGATTTAGCTCAGTGGCCTCACTGCCTGCCTCACGAGCCACAAGATCCTGAGTTTGATCCCTGGTACCATAAAAATAAATAAATAAATAAATAATAAAAAAGAATATGTTCTAAAACTAAGGATATGAGTCACCACATTGAAAAAAAATATACCAAGTTGCTGTACAGTGAATGGAAAAATTCTACACCATGCCTGCCATTGTGAAAATGTAAGATAAAGAGACATGCTTAAAATTTCAGAGAGGAAAATTGGGTTATATACCAAGGCTGGACATCAGGGTGGCGTCAAACTTTGCAGCAGTTTCACTGAAGCTGAAAGGCAAATGGAAGTGACTTCCAAATTCTGAGTAAAAATGATTTTCTTCATTGAATTCTACCAAGACCATTATCAATTAAATATAGGGCAGAACAAAGACAATTTTAAACAGCCAATTTCAAAAAACTTAATTCTCCTGCTACCTCTCTTTGGAAGTTACTGGAATGTGCTATCTATCCAAAGAACAGAGTTTACCAAGAAAGAGGGGGATGTGAGATCCAGGCAAGAGACCCCAGGACAGAGGAGCAGGACTAGAATCTCCGAGAATTGGCAGGTAGAAGTTCCAGGGCAGCAAGTTACATGAGACCTAGAAAGCAACCAGTTAAGACTGAAGGAAGAGAATGGAGACATTATGTATATGAGAAAATATCACTTGACTTTACAGAAAATCCTATTGAAAGTCTTTACAGAGCTTTTGATGGGTGCAAAAAAGCTTAGATGGCAGTTCTTAGAAAACAAAGCAAATAAAAATGAGAGAATATCACTATAAAGAGAACTAGAAGTCATTAAAGAATGTACATCCATAATTCACTCTATCCCACATCAGCAGCAAGCATCATTTACAGTTTAGTCTGTAAAGAACACACTGAGTATGGATAGATACAACCAAAAATGGTGACTGGACTAAAACTCTTATGGGATGGGTGGAAGAGGGAGCACCCCCTCTGCTGCCCCCAGCAGGCCATAGGTGAAGCCTGCAGTAGTCAGTCAGGACAGAATGAGGCTGCGTTATCCAGGGACAGTGAGGGATGCGAAGAAGCCACTGAGCAGCAGAGGAGGGAGCAGTGGCAGTTGTTCTTTGCAATAAGCTTCCTAAGCATATTTTGATTTTTGATTCTTAAAACGGTTTTCATCTATTGTCTGTATAAAACTAATGTTTTAAAATGCCATTCGCTTTTTGGAAATACTCTTCTTGATGTATAGTTTTAAAAAAAACTAGTACATTCGGTAAGTATGGTCAGGAAACCCCTAAAATTTTTCTTATATGTAAATACTTTTTGAAAATATTAAAGTTGTTTTATGTCAGTGAAGTTTAGGCTGGTGTCCCTTATATTACCCCTTTTTTCATACTTAGTAAGGTTAGCTTTTTGTTAAATTAATTTTATTTTATAGGAGAAAGTGTCATTAGTATTTCCTTTGTCTTAATAGCATAATAACAATTTTAAAGTGACATTTGCTTCACACTTAAAAATGTAATTTATGTCACCTGCAGAAATTTCCATGAGAACCAAATGAAAATGAACACATTGGCCAAGTCTAGCTCTCCACCCGGTGTCATCGTGCTGCGAATTTGCATGGCTTGCTGATGTGTTACACTGAGCTCTGTGGTTTACCTCATCATGCCATTGATCGTTGCCATCAAGTTTTGCATGCAAATCTGTATCTCCTGAGAACCTTTGAGTGTTTTCAGTCATTTTAGAAAGCAGTGCCTCAGAATTAGTGAATATTTTCCAAGTGTGCTCCTAGCCTCAGTCTCTGGTGATGTCTTTCACAGACTCGATAGTAAGTGTGCAGTAGCATTCAATGAGCACTTTCAGCAAGCACTAGCCATTGCTTCATGGCAGTCATGGGATGAAGGGATGGAGTGTATTTCCTGTAGTTGCTCCTCACTACAGCCTCAGGAGTTGGACAATGTGATTACCCTAGCAGGAAAAGGGAGTTGAATAGTTTGCCTGGTGGCCAAGTCAGTAAATAGACCTTGGAGGAGGGCAATACTTGGCTTCTTAGGAGGTAAGAGCCACGTGAAGGAAATCAAGGACCAGTATTTAACAAAGCAGAACAATGAAATACATTTCTTCCTAGTCCGGGGTTCTCTACAGACTCAATCCAGTCTCTTTCCCTACTCCATAGGATTCTACTTCAAGTTGTTGATCCTGATTCATCAAAGGAAGTAAAATATGTTTGATACATTATAGCACTCATATATATTTTCAAAAGATTTCAAACTTTGTTGAAACAAAAGGTGGCCTACCTAAGTCTTAAAAAACCAGATAATTGACTTAATCCTAATTTTATATGTCCCTCCATATTTCAGATAATTGATGTTTTATTAGCCTTGATACAGTGAGTTTTCTTAAAAAGAAACTTCAAAAAAATTAAATTGTTTTGTTTTTGTTTTTGTTTTTAAAGCCAGCAGCAAAAGTGGACCAAGAAACCTTGACAGAAATGGTGAAGCCTAGTATCGATTATGTGCGCCACAAAAAATTCCGATCTGGGAATTATCCATCCTCATTGAGCAATGAAACAGATCGCTTGGTACACTGGTGCCACGGCGCCCCTGGAGTCATCCACATGCTCATGCAGGCCTACAAGGTCAGTGCCCACTCACTGTGACCATGTGCCATGCAGGCCTGCAGGGCACAAGCACCAGGGTGCAGGGGTCCAGTTTCACCACCACACTGCCAGGTTGATTTTGGGAAGCCTATTTGGTTGCCCATTAAAAACATTCTGAAATGAATGTTTGTATAAAATAAATAGAAAGTCTGTTTATTTCTCTGCTGGTAAATGTGTAAAATGATGGGCAGTAATGCCTTTCCTTGTGATGGGAGTTCTCAGTGAGGCAGGTGACAGTATTACAACTGCAGTAATACAAGGTGACAGTAATACAAATTTGTATTGTGTTGGCTTCATATCATTTTATACTCCTACATAAGCCATTATTGCTGGATATACTTATAATCATTCAAGAGCTTTTAAATTTGAGTTCAAAATAGTTATAAAATTACTTCTAAGAAATAAGGATGGTACTTAAATTTTTGTACACCTGGGACGCTATGGAAAAGTAAACAGTACCTTCAGTGGTTAATTCTATTAAGCTTAAGACATTGGGTATGATATTAAGAGTGCTGTTCGGCCGGGCGTGGTGGCGCATGCCTGTAATCCCAGCAGTCAGGAGGCTGAGGCAGGAGGATTGCTGTGAGTTGGAAACCAGCCTGGGCTACATAGTGAGTTCCAGGTCATTCTCAACTACACAGTGAGACCTGTCTCAAAAAAAAAAACAAAACAAAACAAACAAAAAAAAAGAGTGCTGTTCATTTCTGCACTAAGATTTATCATGTAAGTTGAAAACAAGCAGTGCTTCATTTTTCATTTATTTTCCATTTAATACATCTTTATTTGTAATAGTTGACGTCAGGATATAACATATCAATAAAAGTACACAACTATAACCACCATGATTGCTCTGTTCAACACAGTAGTTTGGTAATTCTATGCTTCAGAGAAATAGATGGAATTAATAAAGCAAAATTCATATGTCCACAAGAAAATATCAATTTGTACCTGCATCAATTTTATTTTCCCTTTATGATTGACTCTGATAAATTATTTCAAAATTGTTTGATAAATAATAAATTATTTCAAAAAAACTGGGAAATGAACTTTTATGATATACACTAATTTTTCAGAGTATTTTAGTTCTTCAATAATAACACAAAAAATGTTGAAATAGTGTAAGACAGGAATGTTCAGAAATGACTCAAGATGATATTTGTTGAGAGCATAGCACAATGAAATATAACATTTCAGAGTCAGAGAACATAATGATTTATCCTCATCACATTACCCTGCTTTTTAAATTAAACCATAATTCTGTTCAAATGGTTGCCTGTCCTGTTTTTAGTATTTTGGAGCACTTGTAACTTCAGTGACATAGAGATGCCTATAATATACATGTCCCACAGTAGGGTGTGTGCATAATATTGCCATAAAAACAAGAACCTTTTCATGTTCAACACAGATGCAAGAATCATGAATGGAAAGCTTTTGTTTGTGGAGCTCTTTTCCCCTTTCCCCTTAAAGACATCTGCCTTTGAGGATGGGTGCTGCTGTGCTCCAACACGTCTGGTGGGGACCTGCATCATGGGCACCCACTTCCGCTAGCCTTGCTTACGGTTGCTGCTGTTTCCACCACTGAGGGTCACGTGGTGGCAGGCATTTCCATGTTCTGCTGAGGACTGGCTTTTCCTGCAGGGCACTGCCTGGACCCTATTTGAACACCTCCCCTCCCTCATTGATTCCAAAACAGAAATTTCTCCTGTTTGGAAAGTAAGAGCCAAAGCTGTTAAGGTCCCATACTTAGTGATTCAAACCTGATTCTGTCCTCTACATTAAGACTGTTGAACATGAGGAAGGGAAAGATTATCAGAATCTTCTGGGGGTAGAAAGGCATCAATGGTAATATGCAAAAGTAAATAATCTAGTTGGCCAGTGAGAGGTAAAACATGTCATTACAGTGTGAAGTACAGGAAATAAGTCTAGACAACACCTTCCTCCTGGGGGTGCACACCCCACGAACTGGAACTTCTGTGCCTGTGTCCAGTGGGTGAGTGGAAGGGCTGGATTTATGTATGACCCAGGCAGGGGCCAGGGGCCAGAGAGACAAACATAGCTCTAGACTGTTTTCTCTCGAGTTATAGTTATTTAAAGTAAGACTATCCATTTCATAAGAACTGTATCTTAAAATTGATTAGGAAATGTTTAGAATGTTTGTGTAACAAGCTTTAGCAGTTTATTGTCTTGTATATAAAATCAAAAATTCTTCAAGTATGATTACAAAGGCATAAAGGTTTCAAGTATTTGAGAAATATTAATATACTTCATAAATTAAACTAATTTGAGTACAGATTCACAAAATTTATTTTCCTTTCTGTAGTTGCTTATGTTTATGTATGACCTTTTCGATGATTTGTTGCATTCTGTTTGCCAGTGTCACCTTGAGGGTTTTTGCACCTATGTTCACTAAAGAGATTGCCCTGTAGTTCCTTTGTTTGATGGATCTTTGGTTTTGGAATCAGGTTGATACTAGCTTCCAGGAAGGACTTTAGGAGTCATCCTTCCTTTTCAATTTCATTAAAGAGCTTGAGCAGTATTGGTGTTATCTTCCTGAGGTTCTTGTAGAATTCTGCATTGAATCCATCTGGACGTGGGCTTCTCTTAGTTGGTAGGTCTTTTATTAATGCTCCAGTTTCATTGCCTCTTCCTGGATTATTCATGGTTTTTAAATCTTGGTTCAGTTGTGGTAATTCATACATATCTAGCAATCTATCCATTTCTTCTGAATTCTCCAATTTATTGGCATATAGGTTTGCAAAGCAGTTGTTAAATTATTGATTTTGGCAACAAATTGATTTTTAATAATCTTGTATTTGTCTTTATTTCACCTTCTTTTTTTTTTGGTACCAGGGATCGAAATTGGGCCCTTGTGCTTGCAAAGCAGGTGGAGGAACCACTGAGCTAAATCCCCGGCCCTCACCTTCATTTTTAAAAGAGTTTTTGCTGGTTGTAAAATTCTAGTTTGACAGTTCTTTTTTTCCTTTCAGTACTTCAGAGCTAGTGTTCCATTGTCTTTAGGCCTCCATTTCTTCTGGTGAGAAATTAGTCATTCATCATACTGGCATCTTACCTATGATTGTGTGTGTGTGTGTGTGTGTGTGTGTGTGTGCGTGTGCACGTGCATCTGTGTGTACATTTATGTTTGGCCATTATTTTTTTCATAGGTGGGGGGTGGAGGTTATTTTCAAGTTTATTTTTCTTCTCTGTAATTCATGTGGGATAATTTCCGTTTATCTAGTTTCATATTGCTTTTGTTGTGTCTGAGCTGCTATAAGCCTACCCAGTGATTTTATCTTACTTAAGGATGTTTTTCTAAGTCTGTAATATCTATTTCTTTTTTAGTAGTGCCTTTCTCCTGTGAATGTTCCTAGTTGTTTGTCTTAGTTACTTTTGTCACTGCTGAGACAAAACACCTGACACAAATTAAAAGAGGAAAGGTTTATTTTGGCTCACAGTTTGTAGAGGTGTCAGTCCACAGTTGGCTGGTCCCAAGGCAGGGTGGCATAGCAGAGAGGCATCACAGAGGAGAAATAGTCCATGACATGGCAAGCCAGAAGGCAGCTAGTGGTAAGCCTACCTTCCTTTTTTTCCCCTTATCTTCTATCCAGGCTGCAAACCTATTGATTGGTGGCACCCCTACCCAGGGATGGGCTTCCATTATCCACACCCAGAACTGTGCTAATTCCACTCAGTGTACTAAATTAGTACCCAGTTAATTCCAGTATCGTGTGCTATGGATCCACCCAGTTCCAAAAGGCTCTACCTGTGATCAGTGAGGCTTTGGGGACCATCTAGACAGACGCCATAACACTGTCCATTGGTGGTGAGTGTAGTCTTTTCATCCTTAAAGATATTGGTTATTACCACCTAAATCCTTATCTCCTTCCACATTTGGGTTATCTCAGCATCTGGTCTTGCCCACCCTCGGCTGTCAGCGAGCCTGGCTAACGACTATCCACAAGAAGTGCTCCTGTAGGGTGCCATGAAGTCCTGCCCCGGGGCATGTAGCCAGTCTGTGTGGGATCACACAACTGCTTGCTTGGGTCCAGTAGGGTGGGCAACCCACACGCTGCCCCAGGGTATGGTGTTCTCGCCCCAGGGATGGGGTGCTGTCACATTGATACTTTGGTTGTCCTCGCCAAGAGTGGACCTATCAGAGCTGCAGAGTGTGTGTCGCAGGAACTCTGTAGTGGTTTGTAGTGAAGCTTCTTACCAAGGACATGGGCTAATTTAATTTTTATAATTTAAATTTTTATCAATCCACATTTGTATGGAATGATCACATTCCTTCTGGGGAGTTGATCCATATATACAACACATCCTAACTCTTTTTCTATCCCCTTCCTCTCTCCCCCGCACCCCCATCTCTTGGTCCCCTTTGCATTTGTAATATGTACTACTTTAAAATTAATTTTTTTTACTTTTTTGGTTTTTTGAGACAGGATTTCACTATGTAGACTAGGCTGGCCTCAAACTCATGGTAATCCTCTTGCCACAGCTTCACAAGTGCTGGGATTACAGCTGTGCGCCAGCATACCTGGCTCAATATTAATTTTTAAAGCTAAATTTTAGAATTACTTCTGCAGAACTATGAATTGGAGGGCAAGAGAAGTAGGCTGACAGGTTGAGCTTGTAAGAGGCTATACATCATGCTGCTAGTGATTTTTAATTTTTTTTTTTTTTTACTCCAGTGGCATTTTTGTTTTCCTAACCAGAAAGAAGTTTTTGTTTACTTGTTTTTTGGTGTGGTAATGGGGATTGAACCACAACTTCACAATGAGAAATTTCTGCGGCCCCTTTTTTTGAGTCAAGGTTTCTCCAAGTCACTGAGTTACCAGACTGGTCTCCCACATCAGCCTCCCATAGTGCTGGGTCTACAGATGTGTACCATCAAGCCCAGCTGTGGGAAGGAAGTATTGTGCTGTTAACCTATTGTCAACGTGGCTTTGGTTGTCACTGTCCAGGTTTTTAAGGAGGAGAAGTACTTAAAAGAGGCCATGGAGTGCAGCGATGTGATTTGGCAGCGAGGTCTGCTCCGGAAAGGCTATGGCGTCTGCCATGGCACTGCTGGGAACGGCTACTCTTTCCTGTCCCTTTACCACCTCACACAGGACAGGAAGTACCTCTACCGAGCCTGCAAGGTGAGGACATGGTATACAAACCTACTGACACAATCCTCCTTTGCTCTTTCTGCCTGGCTCTCCCCATGCCATGGCTCCTGGTGCACAGCTTTGTCCTGGCTCTCTGGGCTGTGTTATCCTTGTCTGCAGCACAGGGCAATATGGACAGATAGCTCTTAAGCTGCATGAGTTCTGCAGTCACACTACCTGGCTAGAATCACACTGTGTCAGCTCAGTTTCCTCACTTGTAAGAATCGGAAAAACTATTACCCATCTGGGAGGTGTGCTGAGAACCGATCAAGATCACGTGCACATCATGTGTGGTGGTTGCTGCTCAGAGTCCACTGCGGACCAAACCCCACTCTGCTGCACAGAGCTGCGTGCCTGGGCTCGCCCCACTTCCCACACAGGTGACTTTGATAATTGGCCAGCATTGACTGCTGGAAGTAGGAGTACACACCAAGCCCCCTACCAAGGATCATAATCAGCAGGGCTTGGGGTTCTCCCATTGCATGTGATCATGAACGCAAGAAACCTTGTGGTATATACCAGGGCATTGCCTGTGAGGAAAAAGATTTAGACATATGTTGCATGTGGAACTCACAAAATTTAGTGCAATTATTTTGTTTTAATGTAAAAAAGAAACACCTGAGTGTTTCCCTGACCCAAAAAAACAGGTAGATAGTGCATCAAACAAGCTAAAAAAGTAAACAGATTTGGAAGCAAAATGAGTTTATTTTACATGTGCTGAATTTTATATTCATTATGTTTAACATCTATGATTCTTAATATACAAATTACCAAAATATTATGTCAGCTTAAACAACAACAACAAAAAGGAAGTCTATTGTAATGATACAGAAATACCCACTGAAGAGAGAAGTGAAGAAAGGACCAAGGAGTTGGAAGGCCAGCACCTAGAGCCAGGCGAGGCATTTTCCAGATGATGGAGCCTCAGTGTGAGGCAGTGGAGCTGAAGCAGAGAAGCCAGGGCAGGCAACCTTTCCCAGAGTACACTGAGTGTGCCCAGGCTGGGCCAAGATTACGAGGTCCCTGCCGATGGCAGAGAAGATGCTGGCGCCGGCAGCCAGGGCTGAAGGCAGCTTCCACCTGGATTTCATCTAGATGGAAGGGGCAGGAGGCAAGTCCTAGAGGATGGTCTGTGGCTGGGTGTGCGTTTCTACCTCAGGCTTCCCTGCAGCTGTGAAAGAGCAGCCTGCACGTCATGGGGCTCAGCCACAGGGTAGAGGGTCTGTGCGACCCAGCCCCAGCCCTGCTCTGGACACTGCTGCTCATGGGGCCTCTGGCTTCAACTCTGGGAGCTCCCTGCAGGGTTGTTGAGCAGGAGTGCTGTTCTCACAAGAACTTTCTTTCCTGTCAGTTTGCAGAGTGGTGTCTGGACTATGGAGCACATGGGTGCCGCATCCCTGACAGGCCCTATTCCCTCTTTGAAGGTAGGCATTCAGCTTTCGGGTGAGTGAGAGGTGCCCTCCCAGCCCTCCTTGCCCTGGGCTTCCCTGCAGTGCCTTTGGTCTTGTTTGAGCAATGACTTCAAAACCAGAGTGGCCATGAACAGGTCAGATTAGTGCTGAAAATGATGCTGAATGTATGTCTTTACCATCCCTATTCTCCATCCTGTCAGTCCCTCTGATTCCTGAGACCCTCTGTGAGGACTTGCAGACAGTGGGGAAGGCTTGCTGGTCAGGGATGGAGACCAGCTTGCCCCTCTGAGTTTTACCTGTAACAGGACCCTTCTAACATCAATGGCTCACAGCAATCTGGCTAGTTGTTTAAAACAAATCATGTAAGGAAATTAATATTATTGATTATAAGTATTAGTAATCAGGAATATTAGCAATCATAAAACCATAACAAGAGCAAATGTTGAAGAAAGTTTTGAAGAGGAATACAATGACAGATCACTCATAAAACAATGACTGGCAGTCTGCTGCAGGTGGAAAAGACAGACTACAATTCAGGAAAGTAATAGAGTCCTACAGAAAGCCCAGTGTGTGTGCTTGTGTATGTACTGGCTCACGTATCAGTCCAAGGCAGCCCTGGGCTTCACAATGCCATATGTAACCTTTAATGACCACATGGTGAATAGCATTGACTAAACATTGATAATTCTAGAACATTCACCCAGGTATATAATATTACAATAGATCCCATCTCAATTTTACCATATTATACTATATTATATTTTACCATATTATACGTTACTATTATAAATTTTTATAAGAATAGTCATCCAAGGCAGAGACGAACTGGTATGGGTGAGCTGATAGGTTTTAATCACTTCAGAGCCACATCTCACACCTGCCCATCTGAACTTCAGAAGTGACAAATGCACTTTTAACCAAGTTGTGAGTACTGGACTCTGCCAGCGCCCTATGTCAGTTGATAAGACCATGTACTTTTTCCCCTTTTAGCCTACTGATATGGTCTATTACATTGATTCTGTTTCAAGTATAAGCCAATTTCATCTCCAGAATAAACTCTAGTCATAGTGTGTAGTTCTTTTTACATACTGCATAACCCACCATTTGCTGGCATTTCATTAGAGATTTTTTCATCTTCACTCATGAGGCTCTTGTTTCTAGTTTTCTGATTTTACATATTTATCTGGTTTTGATAGATAACACATTTAGTGGCTTCCTCTCATTTTCTGTTTTTCTGGAAGAGATTGTGTATTAATTGCTGAAATAACTAGTATGAATATAATTTAAATGTTTGGTAAAATTCTCTAGTAAAATCTTCTGGAACTGGAGATATCTTTTTCCAGAGCTCTTGGAACAATTTCAGCTTTTAAACAGTTCCTGCAGGAATGTTCAAATTTTGTCTATTTCATATTCAGTGAGTTTTAGTATTTTGCAGTTTTTGACAACCTGGCCCATTTCATCGGTAATGTCAGATTTATGTGTATAAAGAAAGCTATTGGTAGTATTTTTTATCATGATGATATCTGAGCCAACTGTGGTATAGATGCTGTTTTATTTCTGGTGTTGCAGTGTGTTTTAGTCACATAATGGAAGTAGAACATTGGTCATATCTTTGGGGGAATGTTGTCACTTTAATATTCAAAAAAGTTATAAGGAAAAATATTTCTCAAAATAAAACTTTGCATTCTCTGTGACATGAAAATGTGGTGTATAAGATGATGGAAAGTCCCTGTTTGAGACACCGCCCGAGAGCCATTTCTAAAGCCCCCACTCTTGCTTTGCAGGCATGGCTGGCGCTATTCACTTTCTCTCTGATGTCCTCGTTCCAGAGACATCACAGTTTCCAGCATTTGAACTTGGCTCTTCCCAGAGGGATTAAAAAGGTGCAAAAAGACAACTAAAAATACCCATTGGACCGGACCTAAAGCTTCCAGATTGACCAGTGCCTGACACACAGCTGTGAATCCTGAAAGAAGAAAAGCAGATACCTTCCCAGGCCCTTGTTGTTGCAGAGACCCTAAGTTAGAGCATGAGTGACAGAAGCCATCCATCAGCATTCGTGACAGTGTTGCCCTCCGTGTGTGAAATTGAGTTCTTCACATCCAGTTTCTTCATGTTTGCATGTTCCCTGGTGTTGTCTACAGGTGTGAGTTCACATGTGCACAGAGCCAGGTGTGCATGGGTTCCATTGGCGGCCACATTTCTGTCTAAATATACTATGTATATAATGCCTAAGGGTGTCATCTCTGGAGAGGGCAGGAACTGTCAGGATGCATCTCTTATATATTAGGAAGGTCATCCAGGGCGGCATTCTAGTGAGAAGGTCTTGGTGTTTTCCATAGGTACCTTTCTAAAAAACATAAAGAAAAGACCACTCTAAACCCTGAGAAGGAATAATAGAGAAGAGAGCATCTGCTGGAACATTTGGGGAGAGCATGGTTAGGGCCACCCCTCTCCATGTTTTGGGCTGGCCTTGATGTCTCCTGAAGTGTGAGAGGTCAACGGGACTCCATCAGGACTCCTGTTTTTCTCCACCCTTACATGAAGTTCAAGTTACAAGAGGTCCAAGGCAGCCCTGGGCTTCATAATGCCATGTGTAACGTTTACTGACCACACGGTGAATAGCAGTGACTAAACATTGATAATTCTTGAACACTCACCCCCAGGTATATATTGTTATAATAGATCCCATCTCAATTTTACCATATTATACCATATTATATTTTACCATAGTGTCAGTTATTATTATGTTTTTTTATAAGAACAGTGGATAGATTGCAAATGGATGATAGGGTGCTAAAAGTTTGAAATAAACTTAGTTGTAAGGACATAGATCTAGTTGAGAATTGTCCTAAGTATACATTTGGAATGAATACATTCCTTATTTTTTGTCTACTTTGGGGGAATAAAATCAAAAGCACTAGTCTGCATTTGTACATATGAGGACCAACATTCATGTTCTATCCGAGAAAACTGCAGTTTTCTCTGGGTGACATTTTCCTAAAGGGATATTGACTTGGAGTAGCACCCTTAGGAATTGACATGAAGAATTCCATTTCTAGAGCGGTTTTTATTATCAGTACTGAAGTGGCCTAGTACTTTCTAAGAACCTCCTTGTGCAAGGCAAGGTATGCATCGCAGAAGACAGGACTTGGGACAGCCCGGTCCTTGTGTACGGGGGCGTGTAAGGGTCTGTCGGCCTGGTTTCCAGTCCATTTGTAAAGAGAAAAGAATGTCCATTTAGAAGACCAGTCATCTGCATGCTCGTGCAGCTTCTGGGTGTTGCTGAATCCTACGTGTGACCTTCAGTTTCTGAGGGATGCACTTGAGCCTCCTCCTTGCAGACAGCCCTGCTTCTAAGTCAGTTAGTTTCTTCCATATTAGAGTGGTGCCTCAACCCTCAAGACTAAGCTTTAAGTGACTTCCTGCCTACTCATGGCTTTTCAGGGCAGTCCAGCAGCACAGTTCCCACCTTCCCGCCCATGTCATTGAAGAATGACAAAGAGCTTGCTAAGGAGGCCCTGCTACCTCCTTGCTGCAGGAGTGGAAAGGAGCTCATCAAACCCCTGGGCTCTGGGTACAGCCCTGCCCTGCAAGAGGGAGGCTGCTGGGGATGCCACTTCAGCCCAGGGCACTCACTGCTGTGCATATGTGAAAATGACCTGCTCAACTTTCTGACCAGCATGCTGACGAGAGAGAAATACCTGTGGAACACATGGAGCAGATTTTACTTTCAGGGTTTTAAAGCCTGCTGGGTTGACACCTTGCTCCTTATCCACTAGATACTGACAGATCGCAGTTCTGTGACTGCTTGGACTCACTTTCTCATGTCTGTTACATGGGCTGCTGTCTATGAAGGCCCAACTCCCAATTCCTACAGGCAGAGGGGAAATGGCACATACCACAGAGGGAGGAGGATTCACGGGCATCTGGTGAAGTTGTAAGTGTTCAGAATCAGATTTCAGAACATCTCCTATCCATTTATTGGAATTGTTTGTGTCCATAACTGTGTTTTCCAAAATGTGTTTAAAACTTGACAATATGTACATGCACAATACCGTTTTAAAATCTGAAGGAAAGAAGTTGATGTCCACAAAAAGTGTTTGAGGTTCTTTGGTTTTGTTAGTAAAAACAGTTTTGTGGTGATCGTTGCGGACTTTTCATTTGCCCTTGTTTTTGTCTGTGTTGGGCAGTGATGTGGGTTAGGAGCACCCACCCTGTTCTAAAGATTTGTTTCTTCATGTGAAGATGTGGCCATCTTTTACTCTGATGCCACAGCTAAAGGTCTCTCTGTCCATACTCTCTTCTATTCCAGCGAGACCTTTTGCAACCTGGATAATAAAGTAGCAGCCGCCAGTGTTGAGCTTGAATTATGTGACAGGCCCTTTTCCTTCTCAGTGGTATAGGGAGACAAGTGATGTTACTGCCATCTTCTTGCAAATGAGAAAGCAGTCAGCCTGCCTAGGTGTCGCAGCTGGTGCCTATGATGGTCAATTTGAGAACCAGGCAATTCTTGCCGGTGTTTGTACCAGTTCTAAATCACATCAGTACTCTTCTCCTCCTGCCCAGTGCAGAGCCACTGAGACCACAAGTGGCCCTGGGCCTTGGTCAGAGCGTACAGTGGGAAAGTAGACAGGCATGTCTTTGTAGGGCCCTTCCTCAGTCCCTGAAATCTCAGTTCATGTCTGTCTATTGCTTCATTTGCTAAATTCAAAAACTCAGCAGTCTAAGTTGAAAGTTTAGGCTCTCTAGAACATTTTTACAAACTGTCACTACTTCCTCCTTTGTACTTTGCTGTAGCTCCTAAGGATCTGCCTTGCTTGAGCTTCAGAGTCTAGCAAGAAGCTGGGTGTATGGTGGGGATGGGGCTGAGAATGTTCCTCAGAAGTGAAGAGCTCACTAAAGTGCAGAACTTTATGTGCATATGAACATTTATCTGGAGACATGTCTTCTGGTTTTTATCAGAGCTTCGCTCAAAAAGGATACAAGAGTCAGGGCATGGGGTAAAGAATATACATTGGCAAGCTGTGCTTCAAAGTGGGGAGCAGGGGGTGCTTCAGGAGACAAACAGGGCAAGGGAGCAGGAATCAGGAGGTGCCCTCTCTGAAGGAAGACCCCACACGACCGGCGGAAGGTGCTAGCTGTGTGTCCCCAGCTCCTCACACAGATTATTCTGAGGAGAGCGGCGGTGAATTCCAAGTAGACTCATTCTCTGGTTCTGATCGGCTTCTCTGCTTCAGGTACATAGGTGCTGGGGGCCTCTGTTTTCTGGTCACTGCCTCTCCTGCTGAGGACAAGGCTGTGGGCTCCTTCTTGGTCCCATGGGTCCCATTGAAGCTCTGGTGAGTGCAGATGCTGGGCTGTGAGGAGAGCAGGCTGCACCATGAGTGTCACTGTCCATCCCCAGAAGGCAGAGGGCGGCTTGATTCCTTCATACAGCAAGTGTCTGCTGCACACCTGCTGTGCTAAGTGCGAGAGTGAAGCAGGAACGAGAAGCACCCTGGATCTGTCCTCATGCAGCCAAAAAGCCTGTCAATAAGCAGCATCCGTGATGACCCTGGAGGCTGCTGTGAGGAAGAGGTGGAGACAGCAGCCTGGTCCTGGGAGGAAGAGAACCCAGGGCAGGTGTTGTCAGCTCACCTGCCTGATGTGACACCCTCTGGGCCTGAGGTGGCGGTGGTCCCTTGGGACAGGGACCTACAAGAAGGTAAATAAGTATTCCCAGTGGACAGCCAGCCACGTGCAGACATGGAGGCTCTGGAGTCCAGTGTTTGCCTCTTCTTGGCCACTTTCCCTGAGAACCTCAGTGATTCCTGAGCCTGGGTTCCTTTCTGTAAAATAAGGACAATGATAGGATCTCCCACATTTGGGTACAGAGTAACTGCCATGTCCTGACAGAGACATGGGTGCACACTTTCATGTGGGCAAACAGGCTCCTGACCAAGGGGCTGGAATGAAAACCTGGTCTGCCCAGCCCCCCGGGGTATGTGGTGGGGCCTTTGCTGTGCTTAGTTCCTCCTAGTCTGGTGCCACCTCCCACCCTACCCTCCACACAAGACAGACTTTGTCTCTCTCATGGTCAGATCAGACGGTGCAAGGTCCTAGCCCACTCTGTAAAGCACTGCCCACCAGAGAATAAACCACAGCCAGTGGCACAGTCACAGCCCTGAGAGTCCTGGGCTGCCCATTTCCTAGGAAGGGTTGTAGAGAAGTTATTTCTTTAGGCTCATCTTTAGAACTAGGTGTGATCCCCAAGGTAAGAGGGGAACAACCTACACACATCCCCTGACAAATAATGGGCAGCCCTCTCCCACCAAGCCCCTCCAGAGGCTGCCTGGAGCAGGACCAGGGCCACTCAGCTCCTCACTGCACCAGAGGGAAATGACTTGCAGTCTCATGTGCTTGAAAGATGCCTTTAATCTGCTCCAATACCTGTCATAGTAGCTTGACTGTTCAGCATCCTTAATCAGAAAGCCCTTTTCTACCAGGAGTAGGAGTTTTCACAGGCTTTGTGCCTATTTATTTGTTTGCAGTCCTGTGTTTTATAGATCACTTTGTAAGTTGTGATAGTTAATCATGCTTGGATTGAGATATGCTTAAGGAAGTAGTGGACCACACCTCTGAGTGTGTCTGTGAGGGGTTCCCAAAGGATGGCATGTGAGCCAGGGTGCAGTCCCGCTCTGAATGTGGGTGGTACCGCCCTAAGGGCTGTGACCTAGATGGAACAAGAGTGGAAGAGACACACCAGTCAGCGTGTGCTCTCTCTGTCTCTCTTTCCTGGTTGCATGAGGTGAGCAGCTTTCCTCGCCACACTGTTCTACCATGAGGCTCTAATTCATCAATGGAAACTGTCAACCATGGGCAGAAACTGTAAGCCAAACAAAACAGAGCTTTCTCTTTTGGGTTGATTTGCTCAGGTGTTTCGTGAGCTCAATAATTGTGTTTCTATCTGTCATGATAGTGATCCTACTCCTGATGTTCTTGGCAAGGCTGTAACTGTCTTTCTATAAATTGTCTTTCAGTTCTAAAACTTTTTCTTGAATTATTTCCTTAATGATCTTTTCTCCTCTGATGTCCTTCTCTCTTTTTTCTTGAACACCTATTATTTAGCTATTAAGCCTCTTCTATTTTATACCTTATTATTTACCTTCTGAGAGGTTTCAGTTTTATCTTTCAGTTCTTCTATTGGATGTTCCTCCTTTTTCCTTTTCCAATAAAGGATTTTGACCCAAGCCATTGGAAGGGGGAGATGCCCCGCACCAAGGTGTGGAAGGCTGTGGGTGGGAGAGACCAGGCAGGAAGGTGGCGGGTGCAGCTCTCTCCTGGTGAGTTGAGATGATGGTGAGAGTGGGCTGGTGCTGAGTTTGAGAGAAGTCTGTGATGGGAGTTGGCACTTTGGCACTGTCTGTACATCCACCTTGCTGAAGTCACCTTACTGTGACCACATGAGATTGCTGAGGATGTGAGAAAGGGCAGAGAGGGAGCGAAAGCCAGAGCCTTGGGCCATGCAGAATGGAAAGGTGGGGAGAAGAGAGACCTTCATGCATGTGTGTGAGAGAGGAGAGTTACACTGCTTCTGGTGGGACCTGACCATGAGTCTGAACCACATGGACCATTGTCAGTGGTCAGCAGGGCAGATGACACGAAAGGAGTTTCATTGCACGGCAGAGGAAAAAGCAGGCTGGGACGGCTGGCAAGAGAAACAGAATCAAGGAAACATCTAAAGTTCAGAAAAATCAGTCTGTCTGCAAACTGATGGGGCATAAGGCGATACATGGACAGAAATGAAAGAGGTGATGTAGGACTTGGGGAGGTGCTGAAGCAATTTCCTTGAGTAGGAGAGGGTGGAAGCCCAGCCTGATCTCGTGGCATGGACACTGCTCAGACTTGGTTCACAGATGCCCGTGGGTGGTAGGTGGTGTAGGAGCTGTGGAAATCTCTTCCCATTACTTCGGCTTTCTCAGCAGCATCTGCTGGGTGAGAATGGAGAAGGTGGAAGTGTGGGTGAGGGGGAGCAGAGTATGCAGCACTGCCCAGGGTTCTGGAAGAACTGGCAAGGTCACTGAGGACCTAACGCAGCACCATAACTGGTAAGTGTCCCAGGCAGGAGGGTGAGTCAGGCTCAGAATCTGTTTCCAACATGTTCCAGGTGAAGGGTTACTACAGATCCCAGGATCCACCACAGAACACCTCAGATCTGGGATCCCTCAGGCAGTCTTCAGAAGGTGATAGTGCCTAGGGCCCATATGGTCCTGCACATTGCTGAGCAAGTCAGTGGCTTGGTGTTTCCTGGCAGCTGTTAGTACACAACTTTTTCTGCTGGAACTTTTGTTTCCATTCACATATATTTGGTATTTGTTCTCACCCACCTTAGTCATCTTTCACATTAGAGGGCACAGTCCTAGGCTACAAAGGCTGCCAGGAGTTGGGAGTGGGGACAAAGGGGTCAGAGGTGCTGGCCATAGTGAGTCATGTCCACAGAGCATGGTCTGTCTGGATCTTTTATCTGGGAGCCAGCAGGATCAGGTTGCTGGACCCCTCTGCCCCTGCCTGCAAGATGGTAGAAGGGGACAGGGGAGGGCACAGGGAGGCCACCCCTGCTTTAGGATGGCATTTGGGAGGAGGCTGAGGAGAACCCAGGCCCAGTTCATTCTAAGAAAGTGCTCCACCCTGAGCCACGCCCAGCCCCAGGTGCAATCACACCTCCCCCTTGGTTCAGAGATGCTGTCCCACTTCTCAGGAAAACCAGGAGGCACCGGGAGCCGCGGCTCCCTTCTCC